CCAAATCCAATGTATTTAATCCAGGTTTTAATGAAGAATATAACATCAAACAATCCCAGAAAGAGTGGTATCTTAAGTATGATACTTTTAATCCAGTTCTCAATGAAGGTTATAAGGACAAACAGTGCCAGAAGGAGTGGCATCTTAACTCTAATCACATTTGGCAGGAAGGAATGGTGCCCTGCCATCTTTGCCACTGCTGCTGGAGAAGCTAGAGGGTGGAGCCAGTGGGGAATAGTCAGGATTTAAAGTGATGATTATGATCTTGAAAGTCCCATATAGCCTATGTCCAGAATATAGGAATGTTGGGTGGTTTCTCTTTTAAAGTTTTCCAATCGTTTTTTTTCTTCTTCTTCCCCATCCCATTTTTTTAAAAGTTCCGGATTCAAACGCGACAAGTCCTACAAGTAAGCATTCAGTTATTTCCATACTTCACAATTCTCTCCATCAATGATTTAGAAAACAGAATATTCATTTTGCATGTAGTAAACTGCTGTGTCCAAATTAATAAGAATTGTTTTGCTCCTAGCATTAAAACATAAATGAATATGTAATTGACAACAAGAAGATTAAGGCTCCTCCTCTGCTTTTTGGAAGCACTTTGTGCTCTTTGTACCGGTTTCTCTTTCTGTTCCTGGAGATGTTAGATGGCAGAGCTAGTGGGGAATAGTCAGGATTTAAAGTGATGATTATGATCTTGAAAGTCCTATGTGGCCTGTGTCCAGAATATAGGAATGTTGGGTGGTTTCTCTTTTAAAGTTTTCTTCTCAATCTTTTTCTTTTTCTTCTTATTTCCCTCCCATTTTTATAGTTCCAGATCCAAACGCGACAAGTCCTACAAGTAAGCACTCAGTTATTTCCATATATCACAATTCTCTCCATAAATGGTTTAGAAGACGGAATATTCGTTTTGTATCCAAATTAATAAGAATTGTTTTGCTCCTAGCATTAAAACACAAATGAATATCTGATTGACAATAAGAAAAAAAAGGCTCCATCACAGCTTTTTGGTTGTTTTTAGTGCCCTTTGCTCAGGGTTTCCCTGAGAGACTAAATCCAATGTATTTAATCCAGGTTTTAATGAAGAATATAACATCAAACAATCCCAGAAATAATGGTATCTTAAGTATGATACTTTTAATCCCGTTCTCAATGAAGGTTATAAGGACAAACAGTGCCAGAAGGACTGGCATCTTAACTCTAGCCACATTTGGCAGGAAGGAATGGTGCCCTGCCATCTTTGCTGCTGCTGAAGAAGAAGTTAGAGGGTGGGGCCAGTGGGGAATACTCAGGATTTAATGTGATGATTATGATCTTGAACGTCCTATGTGGCCTGTGTCCAGAATATAGGAATGTTGGGTGATTTCTCTTTTAAAGTTTTCCTTCACACTCTTTTTTCCCCCTCTTCTTCTTCCCCATCCCATTTTTTTTAAAAGTTCCAGATCCAAACGCGACAAGTCCTACAAGTAAGCACTCAGTTATTTTCATACTTCACAATTCTCTCCATCAATGATTTAGAAGACAGAATATTAGTTTTGCATGGATGTAACTGCCGTGTCCAAATTAATAAAAATTGTTCTACTCCTAGTATTAAAACACAAATGAACACCTGAATAACAATAAGAAGAATAAGTCTCCTCCTCCGTGTTTTGGGAGCTCCTTGTGCTCTTTGCACCAGGTTCCCCTGAGAGACTAAATCCAAAGCTTTTAATCCAGGCTTTAATGAAGAATATAACATCAAACAAACCCAGAAGGAGTGGTATTTTAACCACAATACTTTTAATCAAGTTCTTAATAAAGGTTATAAGGACAAACAGTGCCAGAAGGAGTGGTATCTTAACTCTAATGCCATTAGGCAGGAAGAAATGGTGCCCTGCCATCGTTGCTGCGGCTCCTGGAGAAGTTAGAGGGTGGAGCCAGTGGGGAATAGTCAAGATTTAAAGTGATGATTATGATCTTGAAAGTCCTATGTGACCTGTGTCCAGAATATAGGAATGTTGGGTGGTTTCTCTTTTAAGGTTTTCTTATCCTTCTTCTTCTTCTTCTTCTTCTTCTTCTTCTTCTTCTTCTTCTTCTTCTTCTTCTTCTTCTTCTTCTTCTTCTTCCCCATCCCATTTTTTTAAAGTTCCAGATCCAAACGCGACAAGTCCTTCAAGTAAGCACTCAGTTATTTCCATAGTTCACAATTCTCTCCATCAATGATTTAGAAGACAGAATATTTGATTTGCATGGATTTAACTGCTGTTTCCAAATTAATAAAAATGTTTATGCTCCTAGCACTTAAACATAAATGAATATCTGAATGACAATAAGAAGAACAAGTCTCCTCCTCTGTTTTTTGGGAGCTCTTTGTGCTCTTTGCAGTGGGTTCTCTTGAGAGACTAAATCCGATACTTTTAATTCAAGTTTTAATTCTTTTAGTCCAGGTTTTAATGAAGAATATAACACCTAACAATCCCAGAAAGAGTGGTATCTTAAGTATGATACTTTTAATCCAGTTCTCAATGAAGGTTATAAGGACAAACAGTGCCAGAAGGAGTGGCATCTTAACTCTAATCACATTTGGCAGGAAGGAATGGTGCCCTGCCATCTTTGCCACTGCTGCTGGAGAAGCTAGAGGGTGGAGCCAGTGGGGAATAGTCAGGATTTAAAGTGATGATTATGATCTTGTGGCCTGTGTCCGGAATATAGAAATGTTGGGTGGTTTCTCTTTTAAAGTTTTCCTTCTCAATTGGTTTTCTTCTTCTTCTTCTTCTTCTTCTTCTTCTTCTTCTTCTTCTTCTTCTTCTTCTTCTTCTTCTTCTTCCCCATCCCATTTTTTAAAAGGTCCGGATCCAAATGCGACAAGTCCTGCAAGTAAGCACTCAGTTATTTCCATACTTCACAATTTTCTCCATCAATGATTTAGAAGACAGAATATTTGTTTTGCATTGATGTAACTGCTGAGTCCAAATTAATAAGAACGTTTATGCTCCTAGCACTTAAATATAAGTGAATATCTGAATGACAATAAGAAGAACAAGTCTCCTCCTCTGTTTTTTGGGAGCTCTTTGTGCTCTTTGCAGGTTTTAATGAATAATATAACATCTAACAATCCCAGAAAGAGTGGTGTCTTAAGTATGATTCTTTTAATCCAGTTCTTAATGAATGATATAAAGACAAAGAGTGCCAGAAAGAGTGGGGCCTTAACTCTAATGACAATTGGCCTGTGTCCAGAATATAGGAATGTTGGGTGGATTCTCTTTTAAGGTTTTCCTTCTCAATCTTTTTCTTCTTCTTCCCCACCCCATTTTTTAAAGTTCCAGATCCAAACGCGACAAGTCCTACAAGTAAGCACTCAGTTATTTCCATAGTTCACAATCCTTTCCATCAATTATTTAGAAGACAGAATATTAGTTTTGCATGTATGTAACTCCTGTGTCCAAATTAATAAGAATTGTTATGCTTTTAGCATTAAAACACAAATGTATATCTGTACGACAATAAGACGGGTAAGGTTCCTCCTCTGCTTTTTGGGTGGAGCCAGTGGGAAATAGTCAGGATTTAAAGTGATGATTATGAACTTGAAAGTCCCATATAGCCTATGTCCAGAATATATGAATGTTGGGTGGTTTCTTTGTTAAAGTTTTCCAATCGTTTTTCTTCTTCTTCTTCTTCTTCTTCTTCTTCTTCTTCTTCTTCTTTTTCTTCCCCTTCCCATTTTTTTTAAAGTTCCGGATCCAAACGTGACAAGTCCTACAAGTAAGCACTCAGTTATTTCCATAGTGTACAATTCTCTCCATAAATGATTTAGAAGACAGAATATTCATTTTGCATGTATTTAACTGCTGTGTCCAAATTAATAAGAATTTTTATGCTCCTAGCATTAAAACACAAATGAATATGTAAATGACAATAAGAAGAACAAGTCTCCTCTGCTTTTTGGGAGCTCCTTGTTCTCTTTGCACCACATTCCCTTGAGAGACCAAATCCAATGCTTTTAATCTAGGTTTTAATGAAGAATATAACATCCAACAATCCCTGAAAGAGTGGTATCTTAACTATCATGCTTTTAATCCAGTTCTTAATGAAGGATATAAGGATAAACAGCCCCAGAAGGAGTGGTGTCTCAACTCTAGTGACATTTGGCAGGAAGGAAGGGTGCCCTGCCATCTTTGCTGTGGCTCCTGAAGAAGTTAGAGGGCGGGGTCAGTAGGGAATAGTCAAGGTTTAAAGCGCTGATTGTGATCTTGAAAGTCCCATATAGCCTATGTCCAGAATATAGGAATGTTGGGTGGTTTCTCTTTTAAAGCTTTCCAATCATTTTTTTCTTCTTCTTCTTCCCCATCCCATTTTTTTAAAAGTTCCGGATTCAAGTGCGACAAGTCCTACAAGTAAGCTCTCAGTTATTTCCATAGTTCACAATTCTCTCCATCAATGATATAGAAGACAGAATATTCCTTTTGCATGTATTTAACTGCTGTGTCCAAATTAATACGAATTGTTATGCTCCTAGCATTTAAACATACATGAATATCTGAATGACAATAAGAAGAATAAGTAGACTTTATAACATCCCATTAGGGCAGGTATCCTCATGCTACAGATGGTAGAGGAACAGCTTTCACACATGATGCAGACCACGAGAGGAAGTGCATCCCCTACAGAATGAATATAGATTGGCAGCACTTTAACTGACATGTCTTAATGCTATGCAGCCCTGGAAGCTGTAATTTGGTGAGGCAGTTAAAACCTACATGCAGCGCAAAGAAGTTTAGCCTATTATTATTTTGGCCTCTTACTACTGCTGAATTGTGCAGGCCTCCTTTAGGGTTCCAAATAGAACCACAACAACTTAACCGCAACAACTTATCCACAAATTGTCCGTTATTTACAGAGTTTGCAATTCCCCCAATCAACAAACTTTAGGAAAATAGTCAGGATTCAAAGTGCTGAGTATGATCTTGAAAGTCCTATATGTGCCCAGAATATAGGAATGTTGGGTAGTTTCTCTTTTAAAGTTTTTCTTCTTAATCTTCTTCTTCTTCCCCATCCCATTTTTAAAAGGTCCAGATAGAACCACGACAACGTCTGCACCAAGTAAGCACTCAGTTATTTAAATAATTCACAGTTCTCCCCATCAATGATTTGGAAGACAGAATATTATTTTGTGTTTATTTAACTTCTGTGTCCAGATTAATAGGAGGAAGTCTTACCCTTCTAGCATTAGAACCTAAATGAATATCTTGATGGTGATAAGAATAATTAAATAAACAAAAGTTATATGGACAGAAAATGGGTGCCCATATTCTCAAAACACTGGAACATAAGTGAACATCTCGATGATTGTAAGAATAATAATTTCAAGGACACATTTTCTATGGGAAGAAAACAGGTGCAGTAGTTGACCCCATTCCTTTAGATGTCAGTTCTGTCTACATTGACATAGGACTTGATTACACCCCATTAGGGCAAGCATCCTCAAACTCTGACTCTCCAGTTGTTTGGGCTTCCAGCTGTCAGAATTCCTAACCATTAAACAAGCTGGCTAGGACTTCTTGGAGTTGGAGGCCCAAACATCCGGAGGTTTAAGGATGCCTGCATTAGAATTTCTGTAAACACAAATTATGTGGAACTACATTTGGAAATTGTTTGGAAATTTCAGCTGGGACAACATGCTGCAGCCAAGCTGCTGAGAAGGCCTGGTTATATTCGCATTTAACTTCCTTGTTGAATATGTCCAGTAGATACCAGTCCCTTTCTAGGCAAAATTGAAAGCCATACATGAGTTTTGGTACTAGATTACATGTATCAAACTCAAGGACTGTGGGCTGGATCCAGTCTACCAAATAATTTTATGTGGCCTACAGATGCTGGACTATAGTTTCTGTATTCCTCATTTTTTCATGAATGAAAGTGTGAGAGTGGCTGTGTTTTCCCAGGAATGAGGGCTGGTATTTGGGCATCAGGTTAAAGTGAAATCAGGTGCTCAGAGCTGTAAAATGAGGCCAGTAATTGTGATGAAACCAAGCTGTTGTCAAGAGGCAGGTTTAAGGAGCAAGCCCGGGGATAGAACCAAACATCAACCAAGTTTTTAAAGACTATTTTAATACAGAGAGGAAATCTTCCTATACAACCTTCTGTCCAAGAGAGTCTCACAGCTCCATGGGTGGGTGGCAGCAAGTGGCTTAGGGTTGTGAGAATACTACAATGTCTAGGCAAATGGAAACATGCCAGTCTGAAGGGTATAGCACTGGGTGGCTTTTCTTGTTGGGTGACTTTTCTTCCTCATCATTTTAGGCAGTCTAACAACAATTTCTCCACCAGGGAAGAATATTCTGTTAAAACAGAGTGTGGATCTTTTAATTGGGGAGGAGGGGATACCCATAAAATTTATTTTTCATAACTTCTGTTGTTCAGGTGAATCTGCTTGACATATAAACTACAAATTGCACTAATTTGTATCTGTATACAGACTCTACATTCTGTATTTCTGAAACTTAATTACATATTGTGATAAAGTTACAGCTGCTATTATTATTGTTGTTATTGTTATTTCTTAGAACCGGTCAATTGTAATAGCCAGTCGTGTAAATATGGAGCTACATGTGTCAACCTGTACACAGGCGTTCTCTGTGTATGTCCCTATGGCTACTATTATTCAGAAGGTTGCCAGTTAGGTAAGTTTCTGTTGTAGTTCTTTTTATTCCTATCCCACCTTTTCCACAGATTTGAGATACAAGGGAATAGCGTATTCATCTCATGTATTTGCTATGTTTCTGCATTTAACATATTTGAAAAGCTCACTGTTATGCTTCTGTAGCAGTGGTCTTGATATTGCTGCTGAACTTGTCAGAAGAAAATTTGAATACTTTTTTTGTTCATTACTTAAAACACAGACATGTACCCAAAATAATGTCTCTTTGCCACAATCTGCTGTGCTGCCATGTTGATAGCACATCAAACTAACAGAAGTTTCAAAACCCAAATACTGTTAAAATCAGAATTCCTCAGCAAGCCAACCAAGACAGTGAAAGTTCACAACAGCATAAATGGAAACAGCCAATCTTTTTCAATTAAAAAAAGAAAAAAAGAAATGAAGGGTTTTTTTTTTCAGTTCAGTTAATTAGAAATGAAAAGGGAGCTCAAGCTTGCTAGAAACTCTCATAGAAGGGAAAATACTATTTGACATCTAAAGGATGACTAAAGGTGCATCTTCATTGGTGCTTTACGTGTGTATGTGGTGGTGGTGGTGGGGTGGTGGTGGCAACTCTATGGCTGTTACATGATGCACAAAGCTGATTTGGCATAATGTAGGCCATGGCTACTTGAGTCATATTAACTGATGATGCTGGATAGGAGCTCCCAGTGGCACAATGGGTTAAACCCTTGTGCAAGCAGAACTGCTGACCAAAAGGTTGGAGGTTCGAATCCAGGGAGCAGGGTGAGCTCCCATTTGTCAGCTCCAGCTTCTCATGTGGGGATATGAGAGAAGCCCCCCACAGGATGGGAAAACATCTGGGTGTCCCCTGGGCAATGTTCTTGTAGACAGCCAGCCAATTCTCTCACACCAGAAGTGACTTGCAGTTTCTCAAGTTGCTTCTGACACATGCACACACAAAAAACAATGCTGGATACTCCAGAGGTTTGCCCAAACTCCAGAACATCCCTGGCTCAGGAAGCCTGAGGACTGGGGATGGTGCCTAACCTCCATTTGCAGTGCCCATCAGTAACAGTACCCAGGGCATAGAAGTAAATAGGGGAAACAAACACAGAGAGAAGGGAGTGATTCCTGCTATTTCCATTACCTCCTACTCTGTTACTTTATCACTTGGATATCATCACTCCTAGCGCTACAAACAGTGGCATTTTCACACCCATCTTAGAGGGTGATATGGTTTACATGCTGAGTTCTTGTTCATTTCATAATAGGAAGAAAAAATTCTCACACAAGGGGCAACAGAGCAAGTTGCAATAGAGTCAGTGGAGTTTATGTCATCAAGGATCACTAACTAAACAATAGTTAGCAATGGTCTTGATAAAGACCTTTGTTGTTCATCCATATGTGGAGGAAAAAAAGACACACCTCCAATTTAAAACATTTCAGGTGTTTAAAAAACAATGCTTTTGGGTTTGGATCCCCCCCCCCCCCCATGAGGGTCTTCCTCCAGGGGCAAACCAAGAATGGGCAACTTGGAAGTCCCTGAACAGACTCAGAAGTGGAGTGGGCGGAACAAAAGACAACCCGGCAAAATGGCACTACCTAAAAGAATCCCACACCTTATGCGACTTTGGAGGAGAACAGACAACTCTGCATCTGTATGCTTGTCCACTATGCCCTGCCTCATGTACAGAGGAAGAATTGTTGGAGGCTACAGACAATGCCATTGCTGTTGCCCGTTTTTCGTCAAAAGATATTTAACCACCTACGCTCCTTCTATATTTTATCGGTTTTATACTAATTTATGCAATGCTTTTGTTACAAAATAAATAAACTAACTAAACAATAACCATATTATTTAGTCCCTCATTTGATATCTTTCTCCATTTCAAACACAATTGAAACCAACAAAAGGGTGGATCTTCAGATGAAAAATAAATAATATACACTTTTGTAATTTCAGGGCAAATATTCCCAGGACAAATCAGTCTGGACAAGCAGTATGACCCTGCAATGGCAAATGAACAATCCAAAGAATATTTAGAAGTATACACCAGTGTCACTAACTTCGTAAGTTTATGTTTCTGACATTTGATTTTTTTCAAACTAGACCTTCACTTTTTTAAAAAAGCTGTATCTTGAAACTAGATTATATCTAGAAAAGGGAACTTTCAGAGAGATAGCTGCATTAGTTTCTTCCAACATAATGAGAAGGAAGAACTATCATGACACTCTTAAGACCACCAAAAAACTTTTCTTTGTAAACTGAATATATTGGTTTACATAGGAAACACAATAAAATATGGTATATTTGAGACTAGTCAGGCTAGTTTTGATGATCAAACAAACCAGAGCCCAAAGATAGGATGAAAGTACATAAGAAGGAGATAGCATTAATCTCTTCACAAAGTAGTTGCTTTTCATCAGAAAAAAACATCCCTGGGTATATACAGAAGTTAGTTTTGTCATGTAGTACACAAACATCCTGAATGCAGAGAAGGAGAATATGCAATGTATACAAAATGCAGTATGAAACCGACATGGGGTTTGTCCACACTGTATAGTTAAAGCAGTTTTACACCACTTTGACTGCTAGGGCTCAGTGCTATGGAATCATGTGAGTTGTAATTTTATAAAGTTTTAGCTTTTTCTGCCAAGGAGCACTGGGACCGCACCAGACTAAAAATCCCAGGATTCTGCAGCATGGAGCCATGACATTTAAAGTGGTGTAAAACTGCATATATGATTCAATGTAGATATAACCATAGAGACAATTCTCTACCAATTTCTACAGTTTAAAAAGATAATGGAATACATTCATTTCAAAATTTGATAGATGCCTTGAAATACCCTTAAAAGGATAGTGTTTGAAAGTAACTGAAGTGTAAGTCATTACACAAATAAAATATACTACTTTTAGAATTTGGTTGTTTACATTTTGGTTTGTTACATGTGCTCTGTGTGTGCGTGCACATATTTCCTTCCTGTAAAATGTTATTGTCCTTCACGGAGGAAAATACATAGTTCAGTATATATATGGGCTTATTGGGGAAAATCTTTTGTTGTTTGTGGAGGTAGGTCCCTGTGACAGCCGTTTTGTAAGCAGACATACATTTTGTAATTCCGCTTTGAGTCTCCTTAGGGAGAGATAAAGCTTGGTATTATTATTATTATTATTATTATTATTATTATTATTATTGGGCTGTCCAACCACGGAAAAATTTGTTTCTAAACTCGATTCGTTTTTAGGGGGGTTTTGCGTTTCGTTATTTAAAAGAATTCCGATTTTTTTTCTTTTAAAAAGTTCGATATTTACGAAATTTCGGAAATTACGAAACAATTCCGAAACAATAACGAACCGATTCGTTAATGGCGGACGCGATTGCGCAATACGCTAAAAACTCTCCAAATGGGACAGGGGGAACTTCTGAAGCTTCCCTCTCCCTCTGTTGTTGACTGTTGGTGTGATAATTTTTATCACTGATAAAACAAACAACGACTATAAAACTTGCACCAGACATACGGAAATAATAACAAAATAATAACGAAACAATTTCGAAACAATTACGAAACAATTTCAAAACAATTACGAAACGAATTGGAAAAATTCATTTAGTTTTTTAGTTGCTCCTGAATGGTTCAATATCGCTTCGTTATAAAAAAAATAACGAATTAATAATGAATTACGAAATTAACGATCGAAACCGCCCAGCCCTAATTATTAATAATAATAATCATCATAATCTTATGGGTTCATCTGGAGCCCCCGGTGGCGCAGTGGGTTAAAGCCCTGTGCCAGCAGGACTGAAGACCGACAGGTCGCAGATTCGAATCTGGGGAAAGGCGGATGAGCTCCCTCTATCAGCTCCAGCTCCTCATGCGGGGACATGAGAGAAGCCTCCCACAAGGATGATAAAAACATCAAAAATCATCCGGGCGTCCCCTGGGCAACGTCCTTGCAGACGGCCAATTCTCTCACAGTAGGAGCGACTCCTGACACGATAAAAAAAAGGGTTTATCTACATTGTAGAATTAATGCAGTTTGACACCACCTTTACTGCCATGGCTCAATGCTATGAAATCTTGGGGTTTGTAATTTGGAGGAAGCACCACCACTCTTTGGCTGAGAAGGCTGAAAGCCTCGTAAAATTACAACTCCCATGATTCCATACCACTCAGCCCTGGCAATTAAAGTGGTATCAAGCTGCATTCTTTCTATGTCAGTTTCATACTGGGCTATTTTGCTATGCAATATCCTTTTTTGGGTTGTTTTTTTTCTTTTGCATTGCATTGCATTGCATATCCTTATATGCATTCAGGCATCATTTCACAATCGGAAGGGTCAGCTCCTGAAGAGACTAAAATAATGACTATAATTCACAAAGGCATGGGACTGAAGGGTTTATCCTGGATGTTTTGTGATACAGCTTTGCATCTAGTGTCCTCCTCCACCCCACTCCCTTCCCATCTTAAAGGTAAGGTAAAGGTTTCCCCTTGACATTAAGTCTAGTCAAGTCTGACTCTGAGGGGTGGTGCTCATCTCAATTTCTAAGCCAAAGAGCCAGCATTGTCCATAGATGCCTTCTAGGACATGGGGCCGGCATGACTGTATGGAGGGCTGTTACCTTCCCGCTGAAGTGGTACCTATTGATCTACGCACATTTTCATGTCTTCAAACTGCTAGACTGGAAGAAGCTGGACACAACAGGAGCTCATCCCATCTTGCGGATTCAAACAGCCGACCCTCTGGTCAGCAAGTTCTGCAGCTTAGCAGTTTAACCCGCTGCGTCACCACGGCCCCCATCTTACTGAATCTTTATTTGTATTTTTACAGTTTTATGAAACATTGAAAGGTGAGGCAAGCTACAAGGAAACAAGCATCACAAGCATAAAGTAAGTAAGTGTGGCAGACTTGTAAAGCCATAGATAACAAGACCAGAATAATGTAGTGGCTTAAGCCTTCCGGCACATCATCACCTCTCCCAGGGAACTCTCCCCCCCCCTTCAGTTTCCCATTTTCACCCTCCTAACAATCAACTGGCCCTTTAAAGGTCATTGTTTACATTCAGCTATCGCTGGCTGATATGTAGACATTCTAATGGTGGGAGCTCAAAGAAAGCATTTCTGGCTCTCATTTGGCTCCTCCTCCATTAGAATACCTAAATATTTCTTTCTTATTACTTATCAGGGTGAGATAGCATGTGATCCTCGAGATGGTTTTGACCTATAACACCCATTATTCTTAGCAGCCAGTATTGCCAGTATTAAGGGATTATGGAAGCTGTTGAACATTTCTTCTTGTAGATCTGGAACAAAAAGTACAGCTCAAGGGAAGAAAAGATGCCAAGGCTGGGCCCATAATTATAATACTCACCTGCTATTCCACAGGTGCACCTGCACTGTAGAATTAATACAGTTTGACACCACGTTAACTGTCAGGATACAATGCTATGCAATATCCTTTTACAAACCGCAACTCCCAAGATTTGGGGAGATGTGGATTTGTAGACTGAAGCATTCTCTTGACTTCTTCATTTGACCTTCAGTAACAGCCCGCTTTAAAACAATATCAAAGCAACCAACTGTTCAAAATCCAAACTGTAAAGTATTCTGTTCTTAATTTTTAACACTAACACACACACACACACACATATATAATCTTTCTTAATATTATATGTATATGTCTTTCAGGGAAGCACCAACAACACTGCAAAGGCTCAGAAGAGCAGCAGGGAATGTTGCTGTTACAGTCACCAATAAGTTTGAAACAAACACAACTTTAACAAATGCTGATGTAGTGGATCTCATCAAAAATGGATCTTGTAGCGGTGTCATCATTTGCAAATCCTTTACAAGTAAGTACTGAATTAAGGATGCTGACATCATGTTGTCGAAGGCTTTCATGACTAGAATCACTGGGTTGCTGTGAGTTTTCCAGGCTGTCTGGCCATGTTTCAGAAGCATTATCTCCTGATGTTTCGCCCACATCTATGGCAGGCATCCTCAGAGGTTGTGAGATCTGTTGGAAACTAGGCAAGCGGGGTTTAAATATTTGTGGAATAATGTTCAGGGTGGGAGAAAGAACTCGTGTTTGTTGGAGTCAAGTGTGAATGTTGCAATTGACCACCTTGGTTAGCACTGATCAGCCTTGCAGCTTCAAAGCCTGTTCTTCCGGCCTGGATGAATCCTTTGTTAGGAGGACACTATGGACTTAGAAATTCCTGGAGAAATGCTGTCTCAAATAAAAAAGCAATTTCTTTCTTTGCCTTTTTTTTTTTACTTTTCCAGCCCCTAATCCAGCCATTCTCCAGCAAAGGATCACCGCCTTGTTGTGGCGCTGGAGCTTGAGCACCTCAATGATGTCATGAGCGAAACCGTGAAGGGTCACCCAAGACGGGACGGTCGTGGCAGAGAGGTCAGACCAAGCGTGATCCCTGGGGAAGGCAAAGGCAAACCACCCCAGTATCCTTGCCAAGAAAACTAAATGGACCAGTACAACCAGAGATATGTCGGTATGCCATTGGAAGATGGGACTCCCAGGTCGGAAGATGGCCAAAATGCTACTGGGGAGGAGCAGAGGATAAGTTCAACTAGCCCCAGATGTGATGACGCAGCTAGCTCAAAGCCGAAAGGAAGGCTAGCGGCCGACGGTACTGGAGGTGAACGACTAATCCGATGCTCTAAAGATCAACACACCATAGGAACCTGGAATGTAAGATCTATGAGCCAGGGCAAATTGGATGTTGTTATTGGCGAGATGTCAAGACTAAAGATAGACATTTTGGGGGTCAGCGAACTGAAATGGACTGGAATGGGCTTCACATCAGATGACCACCAGATCTACTACTGCGGACAAGAGGAACATTGAAGAAATGGAGTAGCCTTCATCATTAATAAGAAATTCGCTAAAGCAGTGCTTGGATACAACCCGAAAAATGACAGAATGATCTCAATTCGAGTGCAAGGAAAGCCTTTCAACATTACAGTGATCCAAATATACGCCCCAACCACAGCTGCTGAAGAAGCAGAAGTAGATCAGTTCTATGAGGATCTGCAGGACCTACTGGATAATACACCAAAAAGAGACATTATTTTCATTACAGGAGACTGGAATGCCAAGGTGGGAAGTCAAATGACAACTGGGATCACAGGCAAGCATGGTCTGGGAGAACAAAACGAAGCGGGACGCAGGCTGATAGAATTTTGCCAGGAAAACTCGCTGTGTATGACGAATACTCTCTTCCAACAACCTAAAAGACGGCTTTATACATGGACCTCACCAGATGGTCAACACCGAAATCAGATTGACTACATCCTTTGCAGCCAAAGGTGGCGGACATCCATCCAGTCGGTGAAAACAAGACCTGGGGCTGACTGTAGCTCAGATCACGAACTTCTTATTGCACAATTTAGAATAAAACTAAAGAGATCAGGGAAAATACACAGACCAGTTAGATATGATCTCACTAACATTCCTAGCGAATATACAGTGGAAGTGAAGAACAGATTTGAAGGACTAGATTTAGTAAACAGAGTCCCAGAAGAACTATGGACAGAAGTCCGAGACATTGTTCAGGAGGCGGCAACAAAGTACGTCCCAAAGAAAAAGAAAACCAAGAAGGCAAAATGGTTGTCTGCTGAGACTCTGGAAGTAGCCCAAGAAAGGAGGAAAGCAAAAGGAAACAGTGAAAAGGGGAGATATGCCCAGTTAAATGCGCAATTCCAGAGGTTAGCCAGAAGAGATAAGGAACTATTTTTAAATAAGCAATGCATGGAAGTGGAAGAAGACAACAGAATAGGAAGGACAAGAGACCTCTTCCAGAAAATTAGAAACATTGGAGGTAAATTTCAGGCAAAAATTGGTATGATAAGAAACAAAGATGTCAGGGACCTAACAGAAGCTGAAGAGATCAAGAGAAGGTGGCGAGACTATACAGAAGATCTGTATAGGAAGGATAATAATATTGAGGATAGTTTTGACGGTGTGGTGAATGAATTAGAACCAGATATCCTGAGGAGTGAGGTTGAATGGGCCTTAAGAAGCATTGCTAACAACAAGGCAGCAGGAGACGACGGGATCCCAGCTGAACTGTCTAAAATCTTAAAAGATGATGCTGTCAAGGTGATGCATGCCATATGCCAGCAAATATGGAAAACACAAGAATGGCCATCAGACTGGAAAAAATCAACTTATACCCCCATACCAAAAAAGGGAAATGCGAAAGACTGCTCAAACTTCCGTACAGTGGCCCTTATTTCTCATGCCAGTAAGGTAATGCTCAAGATCCTGCAAGGAAGACTCCAGCAATACATGTAGCGAGAGTTGCCAGATGTTCAAGCTGGGTTTAGAAAAGGCAGAGGAACGAGAGACCAGATTGCCAATATCCGCTGGATAATGGAGAAAGGCAGGGAGTTTCAGAAAAACATCTATTTTTGCTTCATTGACTACTCTAAAGCCTTTGACTGTGTGGATCATAATAAATTGTGGCAAGTTCTTAGTGAGATGGGCATCCCAAGCCACCTTGTCTCTCTCCTGAGGAATCTGTACAAGGACCAAGTCGCAACAGTAAGAACTGACCACGGAACAACAGACTGGTTCAAGATTGGGAAAGGTGTACGGCAAGGCTGCATACTCTCACCCAACCTTTTTAACTTGTATGCAGAACACATCATGCGATGTGCGGGGCTTGATGAATGCAAAGCTGTGGTGAAAATTGCTGGAAGAAACATTAACAACCTCAGATATGCAGATGACACCACTCTGATGGCCGAAAGCGAGGAGGAGCTGAGGAGCCTTCTAATCAAGGTGAAAGAAGAAAGCGCAAAAGCCGGGTTGCAGCTAAACGTCAAAAAAACCAAGATTATGGCAACAAGAATGATTGACAACTGGGAAATAGAAGGAGAAAACGTGGAGGCCGTGACAGACTTTGTATTTCTAGGTGCAAAGATTACTGCAGATGCAGACTGTAGGCCAGGAAATCAGAAGACGCTTACTTCTTGGGAGGAGAGCAATGTCCAGTCTCGATAAAATAGTAAAGAGTAGAGACATCAGACTGGCAACAAAGATCCGCCTAGTCAAAGCCATGGTATTCCCTGTAGTAACCTACGGATGTGAGAGCTGGACCTTAGGGAAGGCTGAGCGAAGGAAGATTGATGCTTTTGAGCTGTGGTGTTGGAGGAAAGTTCTGAGAGTGCCTTGGACTGCGAGAAGATCCAACCAGTCCATCCTCCAGGAAATAAAGCCCGACTGCTCATTGGAGGGAAGGATAGTAGAGACAAAATGAAGTACTTTGGCCACATCATGAGGAGACAGCAAAGCCTAGATAAGACAATTATGCTGGGGAAAATGGAAGGAAAAAGGAAGAGGGGCCGACCAAGGGCAAGATGGATGGATGGCATCCTTGAAGTGACTGGACTGACCTTGAAGGAACTGGGGGTGGTGAAGGCCGACAGGGAGCTCTGGCGTGGGCTGGTCCATGAGGTCACGAAGAGTCGGAGACGACTGAACGAATGAACAACAACAACAATCCAGCCATTGTGGAGGGCTGACTGTATTCCCATTGCTTTAGGGTCTGTGAAAGGTTTTGCAGATATTTTATGCCAAACCCTATACCTAAAATTATTCATTGCAGATAATATTCTCTTTTCTGCTAACATATATTGTTATACTTACTTTTGTCAGATGTATCACAATGTGAAGCTTACAACTGTGATGAAGACACAACTATATGCAATGAAACAAGCAGTGATTCTTTTCCAACCTGTGATTGTCATCAAGGTCTTGCTAAGAAGAAACTTGAGGATAAAACCTGTTCAAGTAAGGATTTCAGGATAATTGTCTTAGAGATATGGCTATTTCCTTCTCATCTAGTTCTTTTCCGTCATTACTGTCC